AACAGTGCAAAATCGGACCGAAATAGCGCCACCTGTTGACTCTCGTGAAGACGTTGGCCTTCCTGTTTTTACTGGAAATTCAAGATTACGGCCAGAAAATCACTTTTCGTTTTAATTTCATGGGGGGTAAGCCACGAATATCTTTTTTTTACTCGCCTTTTAAGGAAGATACCCCCAAACAGCAGTAAAACTGAGCGCTCATTTCTGAATGTAGCCGCCCGCCTCTATCCAAAATAGGCCCGCAAATTGGGGCTTTTTGTGAAAGAAATGCCCTGAACTGGAAACTATCAGTCCAAAATTCCGGATTTATAAAAATATTTCCATGATGCCTCCTGATTATGGACGTCTTATTGTAAAAACGCCGTGGGATCACAAAATATTAATGAGCTCGCGCGAAGAAATACAACCATTTGGTGGACTGCACCCCCTTGCCCTCTGCCGTACCGTCCACGCGAAAACAATATGGCGGTAGCTCGGGCTGCACATTAATTACAAACAGCCGCTACTTTTTTCAACACTCAAATGTCATTTTAGATAGATATAATACACTGAATTCGGTATGGGGAGGTGGGATCTTAATCAATAAACACGTAGACAAAAATGCATAAATATGCTTGAATAAACAGCATGACCGAATGACGAACCGCACACAGAGCCTATAACATGCTTAGCGCGCGGGCGTCGCGGTCAATTCAAGGCATGCCGGCAGTATCACAACGTACGGGTAAAAGGTACACTTATGATAATTTATACTTACATCATCATTTGGCTCCCGGGTTGTATGGCGTCACTGGAAAACATGAATTATGTGGAAGTAATCCCTTGATTAACCCTAACGTAACAGGGCCGCGGGGCCGAATTCACGGCCCCCCCCCCCAAAAAAAACATTTTCCCCGGTATCGCTGCAGTGCATTCTTCGCAGGATCAAGGAGATGAGCTTTTGGGAGTTTCTAGCTAGAGTAACTCTTTGCTGTCAATTTCAAACACATTTGGTGAAAATTAGACATACCATTCTTGCGCAGAGAGCATTTTTTTCCAAGACGGGTCAGCCAAAAATATATACTTGAACTTCAAATAAGGAATTTACATACATACCAAGTTTCAAAGAAAATTATTGTAATTTCACGCACACACTGCACTATTATATTAAGACATTTCCCGCATCACAGAGCTTTCTCATTGGCCTCTGTCCTCACTGACTGAAGAGTGATGAGAAACAATCCCTGTTGTAATAGTGTAATATGGAAGGGCTGCGTAGCACCGTGATCAGAATATCAACAAGAATATAATATCAAATCAGTGCTCTGAAATATGTGACTGTCGAGCTTTCGGTAACTGAGTACCTTCTTTAGGGCAAGCAGTTCTGAATGAAAGCGGAAAAATCCTCGTTCATTCCCCCTGGACGCAACGTTCTAAGTTCGAAAATCATATGACGCTTTACGCAGGATGCAGACGCTTTCGTCACCGAGGGTATGTGGCGGCGTGCTGTGCTTCAGGAGGATAATATACATGTACATGTACAGAGTGTAAAAGGCTTTAGCGCGAGAAACAGCGCGTGAACAAACACGCGCGCGTACTACATTCGTTTGCACTGCACTTTCTGGTTCACAGTGACGTCACACCTCGGTACTCCATAGAATGACGTCACTGTGAACCAGAAAGTGCAGTGCAAACGAATACGCGTGCGTATCTGTTACGTGCTGGTTCTCGCGCTCATGCCTTTTACACACTAACTGTGTGCGTGACGTATTCACCTCGGTACTCTAGTCCGGAGAACGCGTGTAAGAACCCGCTTGTAACCACCTGTCTTCCTTTCGCCGATTGGGGGTGCACTTTAGCTCGGGGAATTTATCAGTGATTACGTTTTATCTTATAAGAAATAAAGCCCCTTTCAAGAACAAATGGACCATTTCCCAACTTTTCATATCCCTTTTTCCTCTGTGACTTTTTAACGAGATAATATTGAATAACTTTATCCGTAAAGCGAAAATATATACCCACGAGAGAATTGAATCAAATTCATTCACATGCTGGAGAAGTTTATTAATCCAAATTGACTTTTCCAAGCAAACTAATTATAAATTGATATGCGAAACTCTCAAACCATTTTATAAATAAACAACTATTTTTCGTACAAATAACCGATCAGTATAATGAAAGTGGAGAGTACTTCTTTTCCTTTTTCTCAAATAAGCAACAAATTACCAAGGAGAATATACATGGCTACGACGTTTAATCAGTTTTTTTAAAAATGAAATGCTCATCAGTAAATGACAAGTGGGAATAGCACATTATGTAGGAAATTTAATTTAAAGATTGGATTTGTTTTAGCTTTGGTCGCATTATTTGAAGTTCCATCTTATCAAAGCATAATCGAGAGTCGGTAAGATTTCCAAGTCAAATTTACTTAGTTTTCAATTATCGACAGCAACTGTGGAATTGGAAGTTGTTCTTGGGTGAAGAAGAAGGAATAGGCTTCTGTCATCAGCGATCGCTTCTGGTCTTCGCTGATGAGCTTCATTTCCCTTGAAGAAATTCCCTACATTTCATTTCATTTCATTTATTTCATTTTTTCGGGATAATACATACAATAAATCACAGACAAGAAAACAAATAAATACTGCAATAGACATGAGAGAAACATAACAACACCCAATCAGCTCCCGCAGAATTACCCAAAAGAAACAAGTTTCTGTTGAGGGGCTCTCCTAACTTACTGGATAAAACATATAGGAAACATTACAGATATAGTTTATCAAGATGTAAATCAGATTTATACTTAAATGCAAATAATATTACTTAAGGCTGGCAACATAAAAAGCAATAAGTAGCAAAATATCTGAACAAATATGTACCAAAAAGAAAAGTATAGAATGTAATTTAGATTTGTACTTAATTCCAAATAATATACTGAAGGCTGGCAAAAATAAAACTATATATTTTGGAAATATTAAGCCATTAGAAAAATAATGTTAAAAAAAGTGAATACCGAGAATGACAAGAAATAAGTAGCAAAAATATCTACACAAATAAAAAAATAACAACAGAGGCAAAGAAATGATAGGGTAAATACTAAATGGTGAGAGCTGGAGAAAATTACTTAGGGGGTGAAACTCTAGAAAGTATGAGAAATGGGGTTGAGACTGAAAAGATAATCACGCAAAGAATTGATGAAGGATTTGGGGAAAGTTCAAGGCACTGAGAGTTCTCGGACATCTGAGGGAAGAGAATTGAAAAATCTGGGAAAGAGGGCGTACAGAAAAGAAAATTTGAGACAATTTGTTCGACTGTACGGGTGTTCGAAAAAGAAGGGTGTCGGTTTTTCTAGTGTTGGCCTGCGGAAGAAAATGTGAGGAAACAGAAATGTTGTTGAAAAGACACTTAAGGACAAACAAAACACTGAGGTATACAAGTCTGTTGTAGAAGGGAGGCAAGTGAAGTTTGGATAGACGTTGTTCGTAGGAAAGAGAAATAGCAATATTGTAGGGGACGCAAGATTTGGTGAAGTGACGTGGGATCATCTCAAGGCATTTGATGTGACATCTCAGTCGTATACAATGATTTCTCTCTTCTCTTGCGTCGTTTTTTTTTTTCGTGACACTCAACTTTTGTTTCGTGGCTTTTAATTTACTCTTCCCTCGCCAACCTAAAAAAATATAAAGGCCTACATGTACGTAAATCCCCAGGCTGCAGCGTGTTCGGGCAAAGCATGTTGTCATGATTGGATGCACTGCCCGTGAAAGCCCTCTATTGGTGGTTTTTATGTATGCGCATTGTACAAACATCCCAACAACACCGCGTACCGTCCTGCACCAAGACTCTAATAAGATCAATGGTGATGCCTACTGATCTTTAGGGTCCAGTCCACTAATTCAAGCCCCATTGAAAACAGTGTAAAATTAGCACCGTTCAGGGCCAATAGCATGCACGCCAACATCCCTGAGATTTCTGAAACTCAAATTAAATTCTTGTCTGGTC